ACCAGTTGTTACCACACGAGACAGACATGCGATGATGTGGACAGCCGTCTAATTGTTCTTATTGCCGGTCATATCACTGATGCAGATCCAGTTCTGGTCGAAGTTCTCCTTCCAGAGACTCACTTTGTTGTCACCGCCCGACACGGCCAGGATGTTGGCCATCACAGACCACGACACGTGCCAAACCACGTCATCGAAGGTGTGCAGTATCTTATAGCTCCAGTTGGAACTGTTGGGGCCGTCCATCGTATTGGTCCATATGATGACCCGCCGGTCCTGCGAACAGCTGGCGATGTAGCTCTTGGGGAGGCCTATGCTTGGAGCCCACGCCACGTCTCGCACCCAATCAGAGTGGGCCTCCAGGCGCTGCTCCTCCACCCACTTCTCGTCCGTTTCGTCCAATTTCCATATCTTCACCAAATTATCACATCCTCCCGACACAAACCGCTTAACCATCTGACGGCTCGACGCGTCCCCCGAGACGCCGCCCAACACAGGGATAGCCGGCGCCCAACTCACGGCATTGCAGCCAATCGAGTGGGCGTTACTGATCTTCTTCGCGTCCCAAATGCCGTCCCCTTTGAGTGACAAACAAATCAATGATTCAATGAATGGTTTGTAAGAATTAGTTTCACTTCAAGTCGTTATATATAAAGACAACTCAAAGGCGACTAATTATGCCTTCATTTATGCACTATTTCTGACACTAAGACTCACTTCGAGAGCATTAGAGTAAAAGGTAAGTGCAGTCAAAACAGCCGTTCCTCTCATCGACACAAATACATGAAAAGCATACAAACCTTGACTCGAGAGGACAGATATGGCGCCGTCAGAGGAGCCGCAGACCAGCTGAAGACCAAACTCTTGAGGCGCCCAACAGATCGAGTTGACGGACGAGTCGTGGTTGAGGTGTTCGTAGACGCGCTCCCATTGGTTGCCCGACACCTCCTTCCAGATGATCACCCGCTTGTCGTAACTACAAGAGGCCAACAGATTGGCGAACTTGGGGTGAGCCCACCCTAACTGCCACACCGGCCCCTCGTGTCCAACCAAGGTGGTCAACAGCTTCTGCTGTCCCGACACTATCTCGAAGATCTTGACGGTGCGGTCGGACGAGCACGTGGCCAGTCGTGTCCCATAGTAGTCCATCTGCGCGTCGTGTATCATGTCGTCGTGACTCGTGTCCACTTGCGTTATGATTGACACCATTTTGAGAACCACTTCTTCGCAATCAGTTGTCCTCCGAGTCAATGGATCTCAAGATTCAGTGTTTCATTGGTTTGCAAATCAATACAATTGTCGTTCAATTGAATCACTCGTTGACTGCAAAACGTGGAAGTCTTCAGTCTTTCACCGCTATAATAGACTCACACTTTTGTTCAACAAATATATCCATAAATGATGTCTTTTGTCCACAAATTTGTGCCTAATTTTGTACACATCTCTCAAATTGAGTCTCAATGCATACAAAATAAACGTTCAATTGGTTTAGCGTTCAATTGATGTCCCTTTTGATTGTAGTATATACTGAAATCAATTTAAGTCATTCATTACAATTAAGCTAATGTTGTTGCAATATTGTACACATTACCATGTTTTAATTTTTTAATTAGTTTTATTCTTTTTGTATGCTTAAAGTAAAGTGAGCATGGTGTTTAGAATCGTGAACTATAAAGTTTGCCATGCTAAGTTATTAGAACATTAGAAATTTTAAGTTAGAATAAGTTACCGTTAGTTGTAATCTGATCCCATTATGTATCCATTATTATAAGCTAATATTATGGTATCAATCACATTCATTGTATTCAAAATAGTCAATAGATACAAACTATTGCTAGACTCTAATGTACTCTGATTAGTTAAGTATTTTACAGTAACATTTGTATAACATACTGATAATATTGTTTGTTCACAATTAACATTCATTTTTCCATCATTTGATCACTTATTGAATTAATGGACAAATGAATATGACCAGGTGCAATACTCGTGTTCATGTTATTATAATACGGTTAGACTAAACATTAAGTGCAAAATGATAAACTTTGTTAATAATCTTATACAGTATTCATATTATACTGTATAATAAACATAATATTCTAAATAAAACTTTCTACAGTATATAATTTCAGCATTTTGCATGACATTTACATGAATACCCTTACATTGAATGGAAATATTTTAATACTACTCTTTTTATAAACAAAATATGGTTTTTCTAACAAATATTTCTATTGAACATAAACTAAATTATTTACAATTTATCTGTTTGTTTGTCACATTTGATTGTCTTTGTTTAATCATTTCAAATATGTGTCAATTATGTGTAAACTTTGCACTTTATCAATAAGTTTTCATTAAATGTTTAAACATTGTTTGGTTACATTTGTATCTACTAAACAAGTTATTGTTTTATTTAATATATTGACCACAATTAGGTAATTGTGTAAAGTGAGTCACTAGTGCATATATTTTTAGCCAGGTCATAAATATTTCATAAAAGTACTTCTAATTAAACCAATTGTCAGTTTCATTGCTCATTCAAAGTTTGTATTCAACAGTAAGTGTAATCGTATGGATGTTTGCATCACTTCATTCAATTTGAATGCAAATCTATGCAAACAGTCGGCGCATCGGAAAATCCTTTCCATTCATTAATCTCAAGGCTTCCGATTGTGTGTCTATTATATGTTAATTTATTGTCATTTTTATCGCTTTCAGTAATGTATCACAAAATTCACAGCAAATCCAAATGTATTATACTTTAAATAAGCGTTAAACTATTTTAGGTCATTTAATATGCACTTTGTTTGCCTATATATGCGTTTAATTAATAGTTATTTAAGTAATCGATTATTTCTGTTAAGAAATCACTCGTTTGAATGCAATCTTAAAATCACAGCCAAAGGCGATCCAATGTCTGCGATATTAATATGAAAACAAAAAATAGATTTTTATTTCTTTCCAAAGATTTTATATGCAGTCAATTGATTGAAATATTCATGTCTTCAACACACAGTTTTGAATTTAAATTATTTATTTTAAACTATTCTCACGATTTAGATGTCGACACATTTTTATTATGTGTTGTTCAATCACACCACACTTGGAAATTACATTTAATTTACTTTTATATGTATTTATGAAATTATTTGCAGAATATTTAACACGAATTATATATATTCTAGACATTAGAGTAGTATTTATACATAGAAAAAATCTATAACACGCTTTTCAATTAACTTTTGTTTTGTGTTATAAATAAACTTAACCAAAAATCTTAACCAATTTATTTTTGATGGTTTTGTTTGTAAAAAACCTTCAAATGTTGTTAATTTTGAGTACAAGTAGTATTGTATACAATATGTATTGATATTTAAAACAACACAATTAAAGAATATCCTTGAAATAAATTAGTTAATACAGAAATACAATAGTCGAGAGAGAGAGAGAGAGAGAGAGAGAGAGAG